CTGTCCCTGTAATTTAATTTAGCTTCTAAAATGTTAAGCCTAAATTCTGCTTTGAAATCTAACCTGTATAGAGGACAATTAGCAATTTAAGTATTTACTCCAAAGAAATTTTATTAGCTTAGCTGGTTCTGTGAAACATAAGTGAATTACTGAACAGCTGCTCTGTGTATGATTTTGGGGCTACCCGAGTATGCACTATGAATTGCAGACACAGCCTGTTCATCTCAAGAGTTTAGGGGTATCTGGATTAGATTTTTGGATTAAAAGGAACGGGGAGTGATGGTATAAAATATGACAGCATTAAATAGAAGTATTTTGGTAAGGATGATATTGCCTAAGATACAAAGCTGTAGATATACTGCCAATAGTGTCATACTTACAATACTACAGAAATGTATCTATTTGCTTTAGGTGGATTAATACAGCAATGGAGGCGGCTTTCACAAAAACATCTATTGACAACATGTATGTTTTTCATAATACTCCAGACAATAAAAGTTCTTATATAATAGTTAACTTCTACAGTATAAAACTATCTCTATTGAAATAGAAAACATTAACGTTCACAAATTATGACGGCACAAAAATATTTAAAACAAAATATCTAGTTCTTGTTACTTAATATACCAAATACTTTTAAAGCTGCAGGTCTTGGCACTAGCCCACCAAGAAGATTGCACAATGCTGTTCTCCAATGTGATCTGTACCTATTTCTTGCGTGTCTAGCCACATCTGCTGAACTCACCAGTGACAATGAGCTTGACAGCTCTGCCATTGACACTGAGGATTTGTTAGTTCAGCCTTGGCAGTGAGGTCGCTGTTGAGATGGACTTGATGATTGATAGAACAGCCTCATCACTTTGTGCACAAGCTGGTAGGATGATGGTCTGGCCAAGCCTGTGATGTGATGTAGAAGAGTAGAGCTGGAGACGCTGACCTTGTGAGCGGGGTAAGAATGGTTTGATATGTTCCAAACTGAGCAGGACGTTATTAAGAAACTTAAAAAGAGCCTCTCAAAACTTTCCGGAAGATTCTACTACTTTGCTAAAAGATTTATTCTTAGGTTCTTAACTTTTTTCATCTGTTGCAAAAATAAAGTTAGTATTTACATTTAACACTAAATATTTCCAAAACTAGCACGTCCCTGTTTTAGGCTTTCTTCTGCCTGCCCCCTCCCAAGTATTTGTTTCTCCTTTCCATGGCAAACTTCTCCCTGGGAATAGCTGCACTTTGGTATACTTAAAAAGGAGGTCAATAAGATAAATCATTGCTGAAGCTATGCAAGCAAAACTCAACCAAACCCAGGAATTGCACTACATCCTCTGCTGCTGTCACCGTTTGCAGTAGGTGATGAAAACCATCACCTAAACAGTAATTCTTGTAAAGGACTTCTGCCTCATATTTACTCTGCAGCCTCTTGATTAAAAACGTAAACATGAGGAAATTGTTGAACTGAGAAGCTAAATCAATCCTTGCTGTATCTGTAAAGGTTTTGTTTGAATTTGGGCTAACCAGTGCAGATTATATACTGTAATTTAGGATGGGCATATAATAGGCAAGCGAGTAGAACATGAGTCATAAAGTACTATCGCACAATAAATAGAAATAAATATTATGCATATGTCAAACATAATGTGATTTAGTAATTATTCTGCCAGCAGAAAGAAACTATTCATTCAAACAAGTCAACGGAATATAATTTTGACAGAAGAGTATTGTCTGTATTTAGGGCTATATGCTGTCCCCCCCTCACACCAGGAGAGCACAGGGGCAGTTTGTCAAGTATTTTACTTCAGTCATCCTGAGAATGAAAAGCACTTTGGATACTCCTTCTAAAAATAATAAGCACTCTGGATACTCCTTCTGAAAATAACAGCGTACCGTTGCATCTTAATTAACTTTGTGTTCTTTAAAATAGTGGAAGTTTGTTCTTAAACATATATAGCTAGTTCTTATTTTGATATTAAATTAGGAGGGCTCAACCCAAAGTTCCCCAAAAATGACAAAGTCATACAGAGTCAAATCTTACTCCTTCCTCTTCTGTTGGCAAGGAGTAGGTTCTTGCACCAAAGGACAGTCTGGCCATCTGCTCCCTGCCCCTCAGTAGGGACCATACAGCTGGGGGTCCACAACAAAGGCCAGACCCTGTGCTGCCACACTGCTGCTCTGCATGCCCCACCGCTCTCCCAGCACAGCATTTTTAGCAAACTGGTGGGCAGGGAACCATAAGGCTTAGCAACATGCTTCACAGCACCCACATCGGTTGCAGCTGGATGCATGGTGGAAGTGGTGAGGGTGTGCTGAGGGAAACGGGGACTCTTCGGTTAGCTGTCAGCCTGGGGCTTTGGGGATGCCTGGAACTGCAGGATGTGGCTCTACACAGTAACTCTGCTCTGAAAGCACTCTGCTGCTGCCCAGTTAGAGGTGCTGCAGAGTTTCATCCCTGATACTTTTCAGTATCTTGATTTGCCCCTTTTTTTTTGTTGCTGGAAACACTGAACTAGGCTCCACTATATTTGGAAGCTGATCACCATTCATCTACCCCTTAGCAGAATAAAAATTTCCCAGCATTATTTAACAGCAGCTTTGCCCTCCACTTTCTTTGCCTGTCAATTCGAGGTCAGTCTTGCCTTCAAAGCACACCAGCTGCAATCCCTTCCTACCTTTCCTGCAGCAACCCAGCCGAATGTGCATGCTCGTGCTTTTTCCCATGACGCAGGTAGGCACAGGTGGCAGCAGCAGCCTAGAATACACAGTCTCTTAATCACGATCTGGCATGAAATGATCAAAATCACTAACCAATGGCTTCTTTTCTGTTTTCTGGTGTAATACAGTAATTGTTATTGTTCAAAGTCTACTATTAATTCTGCTTCTTTTTCTTCTTGGTGATAAATAAGTCTTTTCTAGCTAAATAGTTATCAATTGTGCAAATATGCCTTGATTTTTATTTTTATACATACATATATATTTTTTTTTTTTCTTTGGGATAGCTCTTGTAGTAATGCAATCAATGTTTTGCAAATGAGATACCTATTGTGGTTGTTGGGGACACTGGATTTCAGTGACCAATGGGATCAGCAGGTGATGAGGAATTGCTTGCTTAGCCCCTGTCAAGGAAGTTAACTGCCTCCCAGATAGACGAGTTTGCATTTAATCTCTACAGAAGTTTTGCCACAGGTAAGGATTTCCAGATCCATCAGGAGGAAGGGAAATACTTCTGTCTCTTCCTAGAACAACTTTTGAAATGAAAAACAAATTTGTGGCTGCATCCAGCAGGTGGCAAGCACAGCACACTGAATTATGCCTGAGACAGAGCTGCTTCTGCCAGGGGAAGCTCCCGATGCTGCTCAGCATGTGCACAGGTGTACATGAACGAAATATCATACAGCTAAATGGCGAGCTCTGTCAGTCATTCATCAATTTACTGAGTGCTGAGGCAGTGGAACTGTTCGGGATGCTATTTAATGCATGGGATTATTGCCATATTAATTTTTAATGAATGGCTCTCTTGCATATGAGGATAGATAAAAGCTAAATATAAAGCATTCTATATAATAATTTAACTGTGTCTTTAAAGGTTTCACATTTTGAGATACTAGCTTGGAATTAAATGAATCTAAACGTTTAATGAAAGGGCATCTTTTTTAACATACAATTTCAGAAGTTTTAGTGACTCCTCACAGTGCCTTGTGACATATATAAGCTGAGATTGTTCCCATTTTGCAGCTGCAAGAACAAGGGCAAAACTGAAGAAACTTGCCTTAAAATAAGTAAATAAAAGAGCAGGAAGAGGCACATGACTCCCAGACCTAGTTGTAGTCCCATTTTTTCTTAAAAGGTATTAAACTATGGAAATAACTTTTTTGTTGTGATTTGAATTAATTTCCTAAAGTAAAAGGATAGTTTAAAATATTTGTGTATATGCAAGGGATTGATAACCGGAAAATATGGATAATTCAACCACTTTCTACCTGAGACAAAGCTGCATTAGATGTATAACTTTGAAGATTATAAATATTGCAGATTCTCAAGGGTCATTGTAATTGTCTACATGATACATGTACAGGTTTGGAATTTTCTTAAGTTTTATTGTGACGAAAAGTATTTATGAACCCACTTATCTTTGAAGATAGTAAATGAGTGTGAATCAAGAATACATATTTTCTGGAGTTCATTATTTCAGGTAAAAAGGACATCTGAGGATATCATTAGTTGAAACTTCCTACAGTGCTTATTGCCTTTTCCCCCTCAATTTGTATGGAGAGTTTGAGCCAGACTTTTGTTCTGATTTATGCTAGTATAAAATTGAATTTGTTCCATATACATAAAATGGTTCTACAGGGAGCAAATACTCTAGGCTTAGTTTTGTATAAATGGACATTTCATAAGAATTTTGGTCTTGGATGTTCTGTGATGTGACTGAAAGTATTATTAGTTAAACTGCAATATAAGCATTGTCACATTTTTGCTTATCAGAATGTGAATTTATTAAATGTCCAGGAATTTGAAAAATTGAGTAATTTGATTAGTTGATAAATTCTCTCATTGAGTGGTTATTATACAAAAATAGCTTGAAGCATTCTGATCATCTCTGTCCAAGGACTCATCAAACAGAATTTTACTTTTAGTCTCACAGAGTATGGAGTCAACCCCCTCAAAAATTAATGTTCTTTCAAGTCAGTGTGGCTATCATGAGGAAAGGTTGAGTGAATCCCATTTTTGTGTCTGTATATGTATAGTTATTTTTTTTAAGCTATTATAAAAATACCCACTGGGATATAAATGTACATCTATCTATGAAGCAACGTTTGAAAATTATGAGTAGGAATATACATCTAAAAATATATTTATTCTATATTTAATAAATAAATCTGCATTTTATTGCATATATTATTATGAAAAATTGCTATTTAAAAAAAGAAAAATAGTAGCATAAATCAGAATGTGACCAATTTAAAGGACCTTAAATTTCCATTAGAGTTTAAAATGGGCCTCTATATATAGCATATATTTGAAAATATATTATAAATATGATGATATGACATTTATGTCATTAAAAAAACCCCAACAAAACAAGCAGTGTATTTCTACCAGCTCCTTGAACAAAATTTGGACTAGCTCATGTACGTGCAAAACAAGTCCTTCATAATTCATGTAATTTATACAAGCTTTTCCTTTAAAAAGACCTCTGAACTTAGGAGTTTTCTCTACCCTTCCTTTGTAGTTCTGAGTAAATGGCAGGATGCTGACACAAACTCTGACATGCCTGTCCATCATTTATGTTGCTTTCAGTAAAGAAAAACAAAATGAAAACCAAGCAGTCCTCCTGACAATGCAAAATAAAAGGCCACAGCTAAATCTTTACAGTATCATTTCTCTGAGGTGATCTAATGTTTCTGTAATGAGCAGTAAGCTGTGATGCTCAGGACTGCAGATGAATTTTGTCATTCTTGCTGCTGCGTTCACAAGGTTGTTCAAAAAAAGTGTATTGCAAAACGCATCACTCGGCGTCGAAAGACCCAGCAGTCTTTTTAGTGTGCAAGCGTATATTTTCTGATGGCCGATATGAGAGGGAGCTCATTTTTGTTGTTAGGCTTGGATGTGCACTGACATTTGGTGGAATGTATTTTATTAGCTGAAGAAAGTATTTTTTAAAGTTTTTTCCAAAAAAAACATAAAAAAAGGGATTCAAACAGTTGTTAAAGTAAGCGATGCAAATGGTGAAGGGCATAGCCGTATCCACAATATCAGTGATTTTGCAGTCTGTTATTACATGTAATTGAATTAATACATCCAGAAAAGTGAACACTTGATGAGGAATCCAGGAAAAGAAGAAGAAAAATACTATTGCCACAATCATCTTAAAAATATCATCATTTCTAGTCTTATTTTTTTGAATTTGATATGCCTTCTTCAGGGTCTTCCAAATTAAGGTGTAGCTTGTTAATATAATCAGAAAAGGAATTAAAAAGCCCAGCAGATTTTTGGATAAACCCAACCCGACCCGGAGCGTTGTGTTGTTGTTGTCATACCGAAAGCCGCACACTGTCATGTTCAAGTTCTCAGCAAAGAATATATTACGGTGAATGATAACGGGCAAACTGGCCACACCAGCGAGAAGCCAGATGACAATGCAAGTTATCCTGGCAACAAACATGGTACGTCGAATTCGGGACTTCACCGGATGTACTATGGCCAGGTACCGGTCAATGCTGAGGCATGTGAGGAGGAACACGCTGGCGTACAGGTTGAAACTTATCCCGGCTGATGCTAACTTACACAGACAGTTGCCAAAAGGCCACTGGTACTCCATGGCCGTGTAGGCTGCCCAGAGAGGCAGAGTTATTAAAAAACACAAATCAGCCAGTGCCAGGTTCAGAAGAAAGATGCTGGCTACTGTTTTTAATTTCATGTAGCAGTAAATGACAATAACGACCAGGCTGTTCCCAAAAATGCCTATGATAAAGATGATGCTGTAAACAGTTGGAACCATAACGTAGATGTAACTGTGCCGTCCTGAAACGGGACAGTCGACGTGGATTCTTTTAACTGTTTCTTCAGTAGAGTAATTTGGAATCATCTTGATCTCTTCAGCTTTAACCTAGTTTCAGGAGAAAAAATGAAGTTCACACCTAGGAGGAGAAAAGAGGAAGAAAATGTTATTCAAGACAGGTTTTTAATTTTTAAAAAGTTTAAATTAAATATCAAGGTTTTGTGTCTAACACAATGTGTCAATGTCTTTGAATTTAAAAATAAGCCATTTTCAAGTTTTTTCTCATCCAATTGATACTGTAATATAGACTTTGTTTGCAGAATAAAACAGAGGTAAGAATGTTAGGAGTTGGCTGAACATTGTTAGATTCTTTTTTAATATAAATGAAATCTAACACATGTCTTTCCAATTAACAAGGTTCCAAATTAAAATAAGACTGTCTAGTGAACATGTCATAAAAAGAGTAATAGAGACTCAAAATAGCAGATAACTACAAATTCAGAAGAGTCTTTAGGCTATTTTCTTTTTATAAATAGGTGATACATCGAATGAGCAAAATTATTCAGGTATCTCAGAAAATACACTTATGCACTCTGAAGACTAGTTCATTCTATAAATTCACAGATTAGGTACTCATTTTGATCTCTGGTGTGAATCACTAGAATTGTTCTTCTATAAAGCTTAATTCTTTCACAGAGAAAGATGAAGACACTCACACAATCTAGTGTTCTGTTGTACCATAAATACCTTAAATATTAAGAAGTTGCCTAGCTCCCCATCTGGCTTGGAAATATGGTATTTAACAACTAATGAGGAAAAAATAAATCTGTGAAAATCTGGACACATGCTGATCTGTTGCACATTAATAACTCTAGAAAGAGTTTAAGAAAGATGAAAGGGGGAATGACAATTCATATTACATTTTCAGTAACTGACAAAATTTATGTATCCAAGAGTTGTAGTTTTAGTGGATGAAAAATATTTCTGGACTGTATTAAGTGTATGGCAATGATATGAAATCTCCTGTACAGGGCACCTGTTTGGTTTGCCAGGGCTTGTGGGCTCTTCAAGAAGGTTTTCCTTATTAATGACTTACAACTTTAGGAAGCAGGTAATATGCTATAAATGACTCCGATATTAATCTTTTCCAGAGTCTACAAACAGACAGTCTTCCCTCAAAACCAGTGGATATTTAAAAAAAAAAAATAAAAATCAATACTTCAGAGTAGTGTTTATTGCTGTCTGCAGGATCCTGGCAGCTGTCAGGCAAACCCAACTTGTGCTGCCTCAAACACAAAGTGAAATATATTTGCTTAAAAAAAAAACCCCAACCAAACAACCCAACAAACAAAACCCTTATAAATGTAAGTCACTTTTATACAGTTAAATATGCGCACCCTAAGACCCTGAGCAGTACAGATGCATTCAGATAGAAAAGATGCCTGTCATTATAGAAATATGGGCTATGTTGCTATGGAGGTGGTTGCTCACTATTTGCGTTGTTCAGCACTGACGTTCCTGTTAAGTACAGAACGCTACTCTGTTAAGTGTTTGACATGCTCTTGTTGGGAGACAAACCTTATTCCAAATGGATCGTCTTTTTAATAGGGAAGTGAGGCATCAATATCTCTTGGCAAAGCCCACACAGGAAGTCTGAAGTGGAGTCAGGAACTGAATCCAGAATATGGGTTGCAGGCAGCATCTTATAAGCAAGGGCACCCTTCAGCTCTCTATTTATTAGATTTTTAAAGACTCGATATTTCTCTATCTTAACTCATGTTCTATGTTTGCATTAATAAGATCATTAATTTCCATAAAGCTAGCAGGGTAATTTCGAGATTTAGGTTCTTGATAATTCTATCAAGTTTGGAATAGCTAGTTAAATGCAACTAATAAACCGTTTGTCAAGATGTACAATGCAACACTTCTCAGTTTCTCCAATTTGTTCTGTGAATTGATCTTGTTGCCTCAGTTGGTACAGATGCCTCAAAATGACATCAGATATTTTTTGCCATGTTTAAGAAGTTAGAAAGTCAAGCAAATACAGCTGACACAAAGAAATGTACACCACCCCGATCACATGGCACTGTAATACATCCTGAGCAAAACTCCCTGGCTTTCTAACAGTGCCCAATCTAAAATACATGGTGTTTGGCTCTGTAGAAGGTGATATTATCCATAGGACAGGGAAAACCACAATAAAAAGACTTCGAGATAAATCCTCTTGTCTCATCCCTTGGTTGTGAAAGTGCCCAAGGAGATTTGACAGTTACTGATGGGTTCTGCAACATCAAGGTCTGGCAGTATGTGCCCCAGCTACGTGCTGGTGCTGTATGGGCTATTCATTGTTATAGCCTTTGCTCACTTATACACCCACTGAGATTAGCCCCAAATTTAGCAGTAAATAACTGTAGGGAAGTTGCTACTAAAACAAATCAATGCTGCAAGTCAGACTTGCAGTAAAGAAGATCAGGGCCCAGTTAAGGCTGAGAAAGACCTTTCTCCATGACTACCTCAGTCACTGGTACTATTTGGCAAATGCATCCTGCTTTGTGTGTACAAACTAGCAGATTCAGTGACTAAGAGAAATGTAGCTGATGGCGAATATTGCCCCTCCGATGGGATTGTTTCTGTGCAGTGGTAGATGCCAAGGCACCTTTCTCACAGCCACGTCATCCACCCCTTCAGTGTAGTAGTATGCTTCAACATTCACCTTCCAATTTCCCTGTTCTACTCACGTGGTGGCCACCACCTTTTCATGCCAGTAGCAGCTTTACTTGATATAATTAATAGCATATGTAATTTCAAGAAAGTATAATAATGATTATATTACATTTTCAGAAATATGTTAAAATAAAAAATAATTGAGTTGGGAAAGTTGTGTCTGGTGCTCTAAGATATTGAATTCCCTGAACTTATTTTGGAGTGCTTGGGAAATAGAAAATGCAGAACAATTCCCATGAAGAATTAGGAATTTGGTCAAGAAATAGTGTGATATTTCACTTTATCTCTGTAAGACACTAACCATTCTGGAGTTAAAGGTTTTGGTGTAGCAGTGAAGTCAGTGGAATTGTGCAAAGGATGTGTTTAGTATGTTATCAGTTTTACATTATACTAAAGATATCAATAAATAATCTATTTCAGTAAATGAAAAGGGAGCAGAAATACATAATGTGGTTGCATTTGGGTAAATAGATGTGGATTGCCATATCTACAACTGAAAACAGTTTGAAAGTTGATGTGAGAGTGAACCTTGTAACAGCCTTACGGCTGAAGCACAGTGAGGAAGGCACTGCTAATTCCAAACAGAATTTTTAAATTTCCTGGAAATTTTCAAGTTACAGAGCTAGCCTCGGGTAGATCTGCTGCCTTGATGACATCTGTCGCTATAGAGCATTAGGAAAAACTTCAACATAGGAGAAGAAGGTAATTTATTTTGGAAGACGTGGTCTCATAGCCGTGCTGAGTGGTAAGACGGCATCTCCTTACAGGCAATGATTTCTTTGCTGTATCACTGTCATTTTTGCTGTTATTCTCACTTGCCACAGTTCACCTGCTTGTTGCAGGATCATGGTTATATGTATTTTACATATACTACATATACTTCTACATGGGAAGTACTTCAGGTTGTTTAAAAACGTTACAGAAATAGGTGGCTGGTACAGTTTTAAGCTGCCAGAATTCACCAGAGCAGGTTAAACTACAGGCCAGTTAAATGCAGGTATTGAAATTGTGTGTATCGATAATTTCATTTAAAGCATCTCAAATGACCTGTGTTAACATAATGATAATTGGATCATTTTAAGGCTGATATACCAGGAGCTTTTTCTAAGAGGATTGAATTGATGTGCCTGTGAATGGTGCGGCAACATCAATCTCAAAGCAAATTATCTGGTGAGCAGCAAACCCCTGTTGTATGTTACCGTCCTGTTTGACCTTTTATCTTTTCTAATTACAATGATTATAATAAGTCACAGATAATGAAATGCTTCAGACTGCTCTATCAACTATTATTTACCACTCCATTCATTGCTTCTGTTGGCTGAACATGAATCCTAATTAAACTGCCTGTGGAAACAAGGAATGCTGAGCCCATGCAAGGTAAACAGCACTTTGCCTACTGAAAGATAAGACAGCAGTGACTGTGGCTTTCTGTGAGAACTTCATCAGCTATAAATAGGTAAGCAGGTGTCACAAGTCAGACTTTAGACAAAAATGTGGGTTTGATATTTGCTTTGACAAAGACTAAATGAACTCAGGCTTACCAACCCTGCCACAGTTTAGCTACCTCACCATTAGGTAATGTGATGGGTTTTTTTTTTCTTCTGATGGTAGGTGGATTATTTGCTTTTCTTACTAATGAGAAGATATTTCCATGTTTAAGAGGATGATGCATTTTATTTTTATATAAAATTATTGCATAGGGAGGACAGAGGCCTAAAAATGTATGGAACTATATTCAATATATTAGCTATGTTTATTTCTTTCTGGTGGCATAGGCTTTCTTCCTTTATCTTGAGAGTTTAGTTCCCCCCTTTTCCTAATTTATACTATCTTTTTAATTGCTGAGAAACTAGTGACACTTTCCACATGCTTTATTTCACAGGTTTGTTTTTTTTTTTTTCTGATCCAGCAGAACAACCCTCTTTATCTTCATTGCCTTAATGAATATAACAACTTCTACTTCAGCATCTTCTCTACTTTTCTGGAGTTCCTGAGCTGTGAAGCCACTGTGAAACCATAAACTTCCCTTGCTCCTAGCTCTTATTTCTGCTGCTCCTTCTAACTGTCTGTATTCCCCAATCAGGAATTTTGTAAGTATTTTTAGTCCAGAGTTGATCGGTGAATTGTGGAGGGTGAGAGAAATGCCAACACTTGGGACAAACAAAGGCATGCAGTTCTGTGGCCTCGAGGTGTGCACAGGCCTCCTGTCATCACTGCCACTATCTTCCACAGAGGTCAGTCTCCGACTTCATCGTAAATGACAATAAATGAAAATATTACTGAAACGGAACTGCAATAGGCAGTACAGGACTAGAACACTGTACATCAGTTCATGAGCACCAGAAATCAGGCTTCAGAAGATCTGTACCAGTAGCTGTCAAGCTGGCTGTTGCTTTTGCAATTTTGGATCAGGAG